GAAAATGTGGAGCACAGGAAAGCCCAGGGGACCGGGGGACACTCACCGCTCTCTCCCTGGTCTGCAAGGCCCAGGCACAGCCCTGGAAGAGAGGACGCGATTGAGAGATGGCTGTGCTCGGGCCTCACTGTTGTCATTCAGAAGTTGTGCACAGAGGGACACTCCCACAACCCTTCCTGGAGATCGCTTTGCTTTCAGGATCAGTCCCTTCACCAGGTAGAAATCACTCCCCTCGGCCTCCCCCTCACCCTTGGCACGGCGGGCGAAGTTTTCCAAGGTTGTGGCTCTCTGTCACACACTTACGTAAATGCAAAGGTCGCTTTACCCTGGGGGTGTGCAGAGGGTTTTCTACTCCTCCAAAGGGACCCCTTGCCTCCCTGGAGATTCTGGCCCCTCCCTCAGGCCGGCAGCTGCCTGCTCTAGCCACTTTCTGCTCCTGGGAAGGGAGCCTGAGGAGCCCCGGGGGAATGGGACACCAGCCTGCAGCGTTTTTCGGGGGGAAGCCACCAACTGTCCCAGGCTGTCTGTCCTTGTYTTGAACCAAGTGGGGAGTCAGCGCGCAGACGCCAGCCTCCCCAGGAGGGAGAGAGGCAGGGCCTTAGACAGGACTTGAGCTGTGTGAGCGTGGGTACGGCCATGAGGGTAGGTGGGGACTGTCCTCCAGGGCGACCCATGTCAAGGGGCCGTGTCACCCTGGCTCTGCTCTCTGCAAGCTTCTCTTCAGTACCTGTAAACTGGAGCTAGTTTCTGGTGCTCCGGTAGTTGGGAGTTTACATTACCATCCTCTTCTGGGGAGCTCAGTTTCTTTCTTTCTTTTCTCTTTTTGTTTAGGGGATTGAACCCAGGGGCACTAAACTCTGAGCCACATCCCCAGCCCTATTTTGTATTTTATTTAGAGACAGGGTCTCACTGAGTTGCTTAGTGCCTTGCTTTGGCTGAGGCTGGCTTTGAACTCACGATCCTCCTGCCTCCAGAGCTTCTGTGCCTGGCTGGGGAGCTAGGTTTCCAGTGTTGCTCTTCCCATTTGACGGAAGGCAACAGCCCCTAAACAGTGCGGGAACCGCACGGCTCTGCATTGGAGTATGGCAACCCACACACAGAGACGGTACAGATGTTAAGTGTATGGCAAGAGAGGGGCRCCTGAGAAATTGTAGCTGTAGGTAAATGCTGAGAGTGTGTAGAAGACCTGCTACTGGATTACCAAAAACCAGCTACAGTCTGACAGGTCCTTTGAACACAGCACCCGGGGAGATCTACACTTCTCTGTAGAGCTATTCAGCCACAGAAAGGAGGGGAGTWCGATTCATGCTACGATGTGGGTGAAGCTCAGAAACATGATGCTAAGTGAACAAAGTCAGGCACCAAGACCACCAGGGTGTGATTCCATTTTATGCTACATCCAGAACGGGAGAGTCGGGAGAGACAGAGTGGGTGCCCGGAGCAGCGACCAACRTATGGGGAGGAAGCACCAAAGGTCCTGCAGGCTGATGAGGGTCCCGGAACCTGACAAGGTGCTGCTGAACGTCACCGGTACAGACTCAGTCACCACCTCAGACACTTGGAAGTAATAACTTTAAGATTTTATGTGCATTGGTGTTCTTACCCTGTCTAGTCAAGACCTACATAAATTTAAATATTAAAAGTTTGCCCCAAATAAAACGGAGTGGAAGCCTGATAGGTGGCCCTGGCTCACGTGCACGCCTTGCCTATCAGTGCCGGGCAGCGCCAACACCCAGGCTCTGTTCTCCTGGCTTTCCTGTCTGGCTCCCTTGGGACGCCAGCTGGAGCAGAAGGGGCCCGGGAACAGGGCTGCAGGAGCTACAGTCTTGCATCTTTGTAGGTCACACGCGGGGAGGAAAGAAGTYCCCATCTCACTGCTGGTCTAAAAGCGTCCAGCAGTGTCAGACTGGCCCGTCCTGTGTCACAGACCTGCTTCTGGAAGAGTATTACAGCCAGAGGAGGAGGGTGTTAAAGGTTCACTTGTGTCCCCAGGAGACACAATTGAGTTCCAGCTCCCACAGCTGTGGACAGGACTGTCCCTGACGTAGCAGTATGCCACTTTACAAACGTGAAGAGTTAGGCTAAGTGGGGCCATCCTGGGACGTGACTGCTGTCCCTGTAAGTGGAGGATAAGAGACACAGAGACGAAGGGGGGGGGCATCCACACACAGGCTGAGTAAGGACAGAGGCAGAGATTGCAGCAACACATCCACACGGCAAAGAAAGCCGAGGATCGCTGGTGCCAGAGCCAGGCAGAGGGGCAGGGAGCAGAGCGCCTCGGCACCCTGGTAAGGAATGGGCATGGCCAGCACTTGAGAGAGAATAGTTCCCATTATGCCAGGTTGGCCGCGCTGGGGTTCAGCAGCCACCTAACGAGCACRGGGCGGAGGAGGGCACCTCTGGGCTACCCTGTTCCCTCTGTCCACACCTTGCTTTTCACAGTATGGGGACCTTTGATAAGGGTAGGCTCAAACTGAGGACAGCCCCTGTCTGCTGTAGCCCATAGGGACACTCTCCTCAAGAGGGCACGGTCAGAGGGCAGCCTTGGAGATACCCGCGGAGCACTGTCTTTCTCCTGGAGTAGGCTGGGTGTCCCCAAGCCCTGCGCCTGGGCTCCCGTATCTCAGGATGCGCACAGCCTCAGGCACCAGGCTCTGATGCACCCCCCGCAGGGCCATCCATTCCTGCACTCCGCCTTCCCGGGCGTGAACCCAYTCCCCATCCAGCCCTAGCGCCCACTGGAGACCTACCGAGGCAGAGCAGCCACAGGGATTCTGCGCTCATAGCGCCTTCCGCCGGAGCCGGACCCTGGCTTCAGGCAGAGCAGGCAGCGCTCTCCCCTCCCGCCCGCCGCGAGCCCGGACCAGAGGACGAGGCTTTGCTCTGATGCTTTGGATCTGTCATCACCGGGTGCAGCGTTTCCTTCTTGCAACTCAGGAAGCCAGAAGCCAGCGGTAACCACAGATGCTGGGGTGCGGCTCCACCTGCCCCGCCTCCTGGGGGTCCTGCCCAGCAACGTTGTAAACTAATTTTGAACAAATATTGCTTTACTATATTTAWGTATTATATATGTCTACATCTTCATTAAGATGTTTTAATTTTGTTGTTGTTGCTTTTAGCTATTGGAGATAGTTACAGTTTCACACAAAAAAGAGTCATCATTCCTTGTTATCTGAGGGAGTTTGTCTCCAGGGTGCCCCGAAACCAAAATCCGAGGATGCTCAAGTCCCTTGTGGAAAATGGGGCAGTGTTGGCACGTAACCGAGGCACAGCACACAACCACAGCATGCTTCCAAGTATCTGGATGACCTGTGATACCCGTGCAGGGTAAACGCTCCGGGAACCATTGGTACCCGGTGCTGCTTAGGGAATACACACAAGGACGCTTCCTCGGGGCAACTTCTCCAGAATATCTTCCATCCCTGGTGGAATCTGCCAGCGTGGACCCGCGGCTCTGAGTGCCCACTGCAGCAGAGCACCCACTTCCCCCTCAGTCACCACCCAGTGGTGCGTCTTATTTCTAAAAATAAATATGGATCTGGGGGGAGGCTGTGGGTGCCAAGGACAGACCTAAGTTCAGAAGAGGATCACTGATTCTCCGCGCCTCCAATACAGGTTCTAGATGGAGATGAAAGTGTGGCAGGGAACCCAAACCAGGTGAGCCCCTGTGTGGACGGGAGASAGCATCCTGAGCCCTGGAGCCCCTCTGCCTGAACCAGCTGCCCTGGAGGAGGGGGAAGCCAGCTCTGAGGCCRTTTTTCATGCTCCATTAGAAACTGGGCAGCGTTGCTGGCCAAGATGCGATTAGGTGCCAGCAGTGAGCCGGGCTCTAAATCAAACCTTCCCATAGGTTACAATTATTGGCAATGTTCACTCGGGTGTGTTTACAGGGTTCAGGGTGTCTTCAAGCCAGATTCTAAGAGGGAGTGTGGATATGGAGTTTTGATAGAKAGCATCCAGTTTTTCTCTTGAAAGGTGGAGTGGGGAAAGGCGAGAGAATATTCCACAGGTATCAAGTCACCATCCGTCAGGAGGAGTTCCCAGCGACTGCACAGCGAGGTGGCATAGTTAATGGTCATGGATGGTATGTTTCAAYAGCCTTGTAAGGATTTTGTTTGYCARTTATCTGTCAATAAAACTCMGGGGAGGCTGGGGATGCAGCTCRGTGGACAGCACTTGCCTATYRTGGGATGAGGGGCCCTGGGTCCCATCCCCAGCACTGGGGGGTCGGGAAGCAGATGTGGTGGTGCACACCTGCAATCCCAGCCACCAGGAGGCTGAGGCAGGAGCAGGAGCATTGCAAGTCTGAGGCCAGCCTGGGCAACTTAACGAGACCCTTTCTCAAAATAAAAAGGGCTGGAGATGTTACTCAGTGGTAAAGCGGCCCTGGGTTTGATCTCTAGTAGAGAGAGAGAGAGAGAGAGAGAGATTTTCCTTGGTGTTCTTCGCCCAGACTGGCTGTAAAACCAGAGCTCTATCAACTGTGGCCACTCTTGGCCACACAGCAGCCCAAAGCCTCCTAAGCAGGAGTGGTGAGCCTCTCCCTGGGGTGGTGGGCTAGACAGCCCTCCTGCTGCCTGAGCACACCAGGAACATCTGGGTGAAGRAGGCCAGGCACAGGGGACAGCCAGGACAAGCCCTGACACCAGGGCAAAGGGCACTGGASAGAGGCAACAGAAATAGGAAGGGAAACCAGAAAACTGGGGAGGGAAACCAGAAAATCGAGTCCTTCACCAAGGGGCGGGCAAACATTTCTTAGCTAGGACACAGAAGGTTTTCCCATAAAGGAAAAATATTCTGGGTTTCTCAGTTTCACCCAAATTCAAAACTCTTGCTTTTCAAAAGATGTTAAGGGGCTGGGAGCTGGCTCAGTKCGAGGCCCTGGTTCAACACTCAGTATAGAAAGAAAAAAAAGAAGTTAAAATCTGAAGGCAGGGCATAGACTGAAACCAACAATTGCTCAGCGTATATGGGCTGAGGGGCTTGTGTCCAGATTGTGTGTATCTTTACGTTGCAAAGTTAAGAAGATAAAGAATTCAGCTAAGCATGCCCCAGGACSYGGGCTCCATCCCCAGTACTGCCCCCCACCCAAAAAGAACTCAACTAAAAATAAAAGTGGATAAAATGTCCAATCAGCAACTTATCAGGAATATAAATATATATTATAATAGATGAGATGCATATATATATTACGTATAAATGCATTTTGCATACTATATATATATATATGTAAATCGTGTATATTTTATATTCTCAACATACACTCTTAGGAAAAGGAAAAATAAAGCCACAATGATCAAACTGATAGAATTGGGATCACAGAAAAGGTCCACACATACATGGGCTTTGGCTTAGAATCCAGGCGGCATGGCTGTGTCAGTAGAGAAAAGAGCTCCTACGTTTTATTATGATCATCCTAAAAATGCTTTATTGGTGAGGGTGCCAAGCCTGTCCCTGTCCCAGGTAAGGAGTCAGGAAGAGGGAGCCATTATTCAAGGAGCTGGGAGAGCCGGTGGCACAGGACACTGTCTCAGACCAGCTGACCCAACTTGTCCAGGGTTCACGGGTGCACTGGGGATCCGGGGGGAGCCTGTGGGTGCCAAGAACAGACCTGAGTTCAGAAGAGGATCACTAACGTATCCCCACCTCCAACACAGGTTCCGAGGGTCCCCCTCCGCCTCTCCTCCTCCCCTCAGGTGCTGACGGCTCCTTGTTAAATTCTACTATGACCCGGGCTTCACTGGCACCTCATAACAATCTAGAGTCTGTCCCTAAAATGAATAAGACAGTCCCACATGGTGAAAAGAACAGTCTACCTAATCTGCCATCTGTACCCGTGCGGAGGAACCAGAGAGGGCCCCGGGTAAGTTTGGTGCTCAGAGAACCCGGGCGGGTGGAGCACCGACCGGGCAGCTGTAGCCAGTGGCGCGGCACCGGGTCGCTGAAATTTGCTGGAACAGTGGATCTTTACGAACAGCGGCTTGGTGGCAATCATCTATCTCACCAGGAGTGGGAGGATGTATTTAGTGCCCAATAAATGACCTGATTCTTCCTCCCAGACTGACGGAGGCAAATAAAATTGGCAAATAAAAACAAGTGGACGTGGCCATAGTGTGTTCTGTTTCTGTTCACCAGTGACACCCCTCCAACGGTGGGGCGTCCCTGCAGCTGCCCGCCATGGGCGGTGCTCAGCTGCCTTACCTGGCTGAGMGTGTGGCACCCCTCCGGCATGCCAGGCTTCCAGCACGAGGACCACCCCCATCAGCAGGACGCCGGCCGCCACTCCCAGCCGCACGAGGTTGCCCTTGGTGTAACCCTCGGACGAGGCCCCCGGGGAAGGCCTCCCTGCTGCTGGGCTTGGCCCTGGAGAAGGGAAGCTTGGTGTTGGCCCTGGCTCCTGTCCTGGCTTCAGCCCMCCCCAGGAGCCCAAGGCTCACCTCATGGGCAACAGGGTTCCCTGCAGGCCGAGTCCCTAGGGAAGACAGCAAGTCCCTCGCAGGTCGGGGAAGCCCTCTGTGGCCCTCACCAACGACCATAAAGACCATAGAGACCTGACCTCCTTCCTTTCCTCTTTTCTTTTTTGGTACCAGGGATCGCACCCAGGGGTGCTTAACCACTGAGCCACACCCTCAGTCCTCTTTTTATGTTTTTTTAGAGATAGGGTCTCACTGAGCTGCTGAGGCCGGCTTTGAACTCGCGATCCTCCTGCCTCAGCCTCCCGAGGCACTGGGATTACGGGCGGGCGTGCACCACCGCCCCCGGCCAGACYTTTATTTCTTACTATAAAACAGTCGCACCCCGCACACAGTCTCAAGGCACAAAAGAGAATTCACAAAGCTGAAGGAGGGGAGAGGGCAGCTGGCGAGGCCACCTGCTGGCCTGGACGATCACTCAGTCCTAACAGTGGCCCCAGAGACAAGAGACCCGAGGAGAACCTGCGCCAGGCCAGGAGCAGGAGGCTGTGGGAAACCAGGTGGAAAATGGAGAGTCCCTGAGAACAAGATCCGATCCCAAGGACCACACGGACCCGCAGAGATGCAGGGAACCCGAGAGGCAGGATTCAGGRTGGGGAAGGACGGCGCAGGGGTCACCAAGGGCCAGAAGCAACCGAGGAAAGGAAACTGGGGGAGGGAAGGCTGTTAAGAGAAGSCACAGACGACTACGAGGTGACAAAGAGCTCACCTGTCACCAGGATGACCAGGGCAGGGCTGGGGTCCGAGGCCCAGAAGGGAGCCCTTGCCTGGTAGTAGATGCAGCTGTAGGTCCCCGTGTCATTGACTGTCACGCCCTGAAGGGAGAAGTCTGACTCCGACCCCACTGGCCGGTGCAGCTGCACGGGCGAGGGGGTCCCGGCCTTCAGCAGGGCAGACTCCAAAGGCCGCACCATGGTGCTGGGTATCTGGCACTGCAGGGTCACCTCTCCCCCTGCGGTCACCTGGCCCACATGATGGGCTTGGAGGGAAGGTTTAGGCAAATACCCTGCAAGGGAAGGTGKCTCTGAGGTCCTGGGGAAAGTCCCCCGGCCTGGCAGGAAGTCCCYGCCACACCTCCCCTCCCCCACTGTCTGCTCTGGATTCAGGACCGAGATGCCCCCTCCCACAGTCCTGGATGAAGCCAAGGGATCCAGTCCTGTCCCAGCCCCTCCCCAGATGCTCTGGCGATGACAGCCCCTCCCCTCCCCCGGCTTCCTCTCCTCCATCCGTCCATCTGAGGGTCACTGCCTCCTATTCTGGGCAACCCCTCCTCTCACCTGTGACCAAGAGCAGAAGGACGTTGCTGAGCTGAGAGGTCACACCAGAGAACCCTCCCCAGAAGCATTCGCAGGTGTATGGCCCAGCACTCCGGGGTCCYAGCTCAGTGAGAAGGAACTCGGCCGTGGTCTTAGTGGGACCCAGTGGCAGCCTGGAATCCAAAATATCAGGTCCCTTTCTGAGAAGGAATCGGATCCCCGGRACGGGGCTGGAGCACCGCAGAGTCACGTTGCTCTTGGCGGGGACCACCGAGCTGGGCCAGGCGCTGAGGGTGGGCTTGGGGAGGGACCCTGGAAGGAAGCAGAGCTCAGGGCTGGTCGCAGAAGCCCCGTTGGAGAAAGGGTAGGGCTGGGGACGTTCTTGCTCAAGGACCCGGCAGCATCCGGCAGAAGCATCACTCACCATCTCCCGGGGGGTCTCTTTGGCCAACACACAATCCTGCAAAAGAGCCTGTGAGGAGGGGGCTGCCTGGAGCTGCCTGAGCCCCAAGCTCCTGCTGAGCCRACCCTGGCTCACACTCTGGATGGCAGGGTCCCAGGGCTTCGCGTGTGCTGCAGGGTCTCCTCCACGCCCCCCAGCCTCCCGTGCTCCCACCTGCGCTCCCCGGGCTCGGACAGAGCCTCTGTTCTCATCTTCCGTCCCCAGGTTTCACATATTCCCACCCATTCTGCCACAGCCTGGGGCGCAGTGTCCGAGTCCCCGCCTTGACCCCGGGGGAGGGCTCCCTGCCAGGCAGACTGTTGGGGAGATTCAGGCCTGGGGGACCGTGACTGCTCCTGAGGACCTCAGGACCCTATGCTGGAGTGGGAATCTCCTGTAGACCCCCGGGACCGAGCAGCCTCGTAGAGAAGGCTGCCTGGTGCCTTGGGTGACGTGGATGAAGACGAAAGTGGTCGTCATAGTTAGGAGCTGACAGAAGTGTCCCTACCCCAGGCCATGGAGGTGCTGTGATGGAGCAGCTGGAAGGCAGGTCTCTGTGTGGCCCCCAGGTCTGTCCAGGCCCTGGCTCCTGGTCGGCCATCAGCAGCACGTGTTGGCTGACTGGTGATACGCCCCATGATGGGGTTTGAGTGTGTGTCCCCTAAAGTCTCTAGTGCTGGAGGTTAGTTAGGTCCCCAGGGAACAGTACCGAGGTGGTGGCACCTTTGAGAAGCAATCGATCACAGGGCAGCGCCTGTGAAGGCTGATGCCCTTCCCACAGGGCCAGGCCAGCTCCCCCGCCAGCACACATGCCCCTTCTCTGCCAGGCAGGACAGGGCACTCTTGCCAGATGCCAGTGCCATGCTGTTTGGACGTTCCAGCCACCAGGACGGGAGCTGCTGCAGCGTGGATCTGCAGCGTCCCCCCAGGCTCGTGTGCTGAGGCCTGGTCACTGGGGGTGTGCTCCTGAAGGGGTGATGGGGATCCTGGCCCCTTCCCATCTGTCTCCTTTTGCTTCCTGGCCACTGTGGGATGAGCAGCCTCCTCCACCGCGGGCTSCTGCCATGATGTACTGTACTGCTCAGGCCCAAGGCCATGTGCAACCGACCCTGAGCTGAATCTTCTGAAACAACAGGCCAAAACACACCTTGCCTCCTTCTAAGTTGATTCCCTCGGGCACTTGATGTCACCCACAGAACGCCCACTGCAGCGGGAGCCACAGCCTCAGGTAATTTGTTACAGTGACACAAAGCAGACCAACGCTCAGTTTTAGCATTAGTCATATTTTACAAGGAKGGGCCCACCCCGTCTTCCTCCCTTGCTTCCGATACTGCACCATCATATCCACCTGCTGGGGCGAAGGACTGGCTCTTGGGGAGGGCTAGGGGAGCCATCTTTTACCTAAATCTGAAGGACTTCTGACCCAGTGTTAACCATTACTTCTTTTCATGCTTGTTTGGTGCCCTGTGTAAGCCTCAAAAAAATCCAAACAGATCGTCCAGAAGAGGGAAAACACAGCCCTGCCCACCCACAGGTAGCTGCACTTGTGGGACGTTCCAKCTGGGTGGTCTGACCCTGGGCTGCCCACTGGGCTGGGGACCTGGGAAAGTCCAGTGCATAGAGCCAACCCAGAAGCACGAGTCAGGATCCCGGGGATGGGCTCGGGCCAGGGCACTCTTCCACATGGCCCTGGTGATTTGAGTGAGAGGCACCGCTCCAGACTCGGACATCAACTGAGGCAAAAAGGAACTTCTGAGTGAAGGTGGCTTGACAGAGGTGACCGTTCACAGTGGTCCTGCCCCAAGTGCCCAGACACGGGGGACTCGGTGCTGCCTGAGGGCCAAGGTCTCTTTCAGAGGAACATCAAGCCTGAGTGTAGACTCTGTCATAATAAAGAGATTGGGCTGATCCAAAGAGGTTTCCTCTTTTTCCTCCACCACGGAGCCAASAGTTTTGTGTCTTAGTAGTAAAAGGAGGAAGTTTCTAGGCTTTTGTGCTAAAATTACATACAAGAATCGGTTGAAAATACATTTCATGTTTTAAAAAGGGAAGTAATAAATAGCTAAATGGAGGAAAATAGCCAAGTGCCCGTCGACTGAGGAATGGATAAGCTAAAGGTAGTCCATCCTCAAATAGAATGTTATTCACACACGCGCGCGCGCACACACACACACACACACACACACACACGAACAAGGAAATGTCGACATGCCAGGCCACGGTGGGCAGACCTTGAGGACATTGCGCCAGGGGAGGGAGCCAGGAAGAGAGGACATGCACGGTGCCCCTCCTACGAGATACCTAGACTAGGTAACTCATATGAACAGAAGAGGGCAGGAGAAGTTTGCATTTAGCAGATCAGGGGACTTCTCTGCTTCTGCCACTTCGAGAACCAGCTCCTTGGAAAAAGTCTCATTCTAGACCTAGATCTGTGTCTATAGAGCTGTATGTCATCCCACCTACAATGAAACACTATTCAGCCATAAAAAAGAAGGAATGAGATTTCCATGCAGACAGCCAGGGAAGCTCTCTCAAAGAAACAGTTCACGGAATCAGTCCCTCACCAAGTCAGAGACGGAAGAATAACAAAAAGTATCATCATTAGCCAGGCATGGTGGTGCACCCCTGGAATTCCAGCTCTCAGGGGTCGGAGGCAGGAGGGTGGCAAGTYTGAGGCCAGCCTGGGCAACTCAGCAAGACCCCATCTCATAAAAAAATCAAGAATCATTATTGAGCACTGTTCACTCCACACGAACCTGTTAAGCTGACCTTGAAAGAGGAGGAAACGGAGTCCTAAGTGTGGACACAGCGTCCTGACACCCTACAACTGGTGCACCCAGGAGTGAAGGTWCTGGCACCCTGCTACCTGCCCAGTCCCCCCAACACATCTGAACGCCTCTTCCTTAGACAGGCCTCTCACAGAAGAAAAGCTCCGGGAACCTGAAGTTTCGGGGTCAAAGAATCAGAGTGGCAGGAAGGACCCCAAGGCCACATCAAGGCCAGCCGGCTTTCTTCAGGGCTTCGGGGAATCCAGTGCCACTTGTTTCTAAAGGCATTTTTCCTGGGTTGCGTTCTGGCCCCACAGCTGGGCACCTTCTGAACTACTCTAGCTCCTCAGATTTCTCCAGATCCAAGTCCCTTCTCATACCTCCAGGACACACCAAGAACCCCTTCATACATGCCCCTCCCAGGGGACCTCCGTGGCTGGGTGGAAACACTGATCACGTGGCCTCAGACGGGCGTGTGTGGAAATTCAGTTTCCCTGAACCCGTGCAGTCCTAAGCGAGTCACTCTACATTGCAAATTCAGATTGAATTCCTAAGCTGTAAAAGTGGACCAAACTTGCTTTTGCAGGGCTTTAGGGGCTGGGGATAGAACAGAATGGTGCTCCCCAAGTATGGCACCGGTCCCACAGGTGTCTATGCCATGATTTCAGGTGGGAGGAAGGGCSAGTAAAGTATCGAATCCTACCTGGAAACTCTGTTATCTGTGGGGCTGGGGCTGGGCTTGTGGCTCAGTGGAGAGCACTTGCCTGGCATGTGTGAGGCACTGGGTTCCATCCTCAGCACCACATAAATAAAAAATAAAGGTCCATCAACAACTAAAAAATRTATTTTTWAAAAAACCTGTTATCTGTTATCTTCTGATGTCTCTTGTATTACTTTTGATTATAACAGGAAGAAATTCCATTTGAAGCCAGCCTCTCTATACTGCCGTCATGGCTAACTGCCTCCTTAGAAAAYAGCAGGCGGCAGGCTCAGAACCGTGGCCAGCAACGCGCAGGGTCGGAACCCCCAACCTTGTCTCCTCTGCATCGTATCTACTTTACAGTTACCTTCCGCTTGACATAGGACTTTAATTACGACCCTGATATAAAGTCTCTATCTTCAACACTTTCACTTACACAAAAGGCTTTGTGATATTGAGAAGACCTAAAACCCCGGGCAGCACGGTGCAGAGGCACTCAGCAAAACCAGGAGGTTGGCACGGGCTGGGGCTCATGCCTCCCCTGCATCACCAAGATCCAGCTCTTCCCTGTGATTCCTCTCTCTATCCGTCCCCAACCTCTCACCACTAGGAGGCTATCTGCAGCCCAGGGGATGGCCCCGGGACACTTACTGAAGCAGAGGAGGGACAGGAGCCGCGGGATCATGTCCGCCTGCCAGTTGTTCCAAGCGTCCTTCTTGGTTTTGCAGCCCACAGACCAGCCACAGCCTCCCTGACCCAGGAAGTGGCCTTGCAGTCCCTCCCTCCAGCAGCCACATCAGGAAGCATGCTGATTTCAACACGGTCCTCACACACCCACCTTCAAGGGCCTGACTCACAGCAAACCCTGCTCGGCCTCAGTCGCACGTCGGGCCTCGACTGGAAACCCCCAACAGCTTAGCACTGGGGCCTGCAGAGTTGGTCCCGAGGAGGTGCATGCACYTCGCTCTTGAGAACTCGGCACTCTGCACACGTGAAGCCACTCGATGCCGTCMCACGGGCCATCAGGGCTTCTCGCTCAGGAAGAGTCACAGAGCCCAAGGGGACTTTCCACCCACAGGCCACACCGGTGAGTGCACAAGGCCAAGGCRGACTTGCTTTGGCTTTGCTTTCGGGGTGGGTTTTGTTTTAAACATAAATATATTAGGGCTGGGCGTGAGGCTCAGAGGTACGGTGCTCGCCTAGCGCACACGAGGCCTTGGGTTTGATCCCCCGCACCACAAAAAWAAAATACGTAAACAAACAAAAAAATATATTCACTTGAAACTTTCATTTGAAATTAGGAAAGGATTATTTCRACTCCACYGATGTCCCCTGTGCCTTTGTGATGCCCCCTTCTGCCCCCATCTTATTCCTCTCCAGCTTCCACACATGAGAGCAGACGTTCGACCYTGACTTCCTGAGTCTGGCTTATTTCATTSAGAAGCATGACGTCCTCCAGTTCCTTCCATTTGCCAGCAAAGGACGTGATTTCACTCTTCTTGCTGGCTGGGTGGAGCTCCATTGTGTGTCTAAGCCACGTTTTCTTTACCCACTCACCTGTTGGTGGGCACCTGGGATGAGTCCACAGTCTGTCCACTGTGAGTTATGCTGCTATAAACACTGGTGTGGACATCGAGAGGGAGGGAGGGAGGAGGGATGGGAAAGGGGAGGGAGAGTGGGATGAATCCAACCACCCATGCTATGTGCATATGTAAATATACTACAGGGGATGTAGAAGGCCCAATTAAAAATAAATAAATGAACAAGTGAAAGGAAGATCAATAGAGGAAGGAGGGTGGGGGAGGGAGGAGGGAGGGAGGAGGGACTGAAATCAAATTCCATACGTGTAAGATTTTGTCAAAATGAACCCAACTCCTATGCATCTCCATAATGCTCTAATTTTTAAAAGGATCATTTCTGATGTCAGAATAGAGATGCGCCTGGCAATTCACCAGGACACCATTTGACTTYCCTTTCCATCTGCTTTCTGTAGCAAGCTCCTGCGTGGTCAGCAGGACTCGGTTCCCGAGGCCCCATGGATGGAGGGCCTGAGCCCCTGGCGGCTGAGCCGACCCTGCTTCCCGGTGTCGGGGGCTTCTCAGCACAGCCCACCTCAGCCCGGCCAGTCAGGAGTCCGTGGGCAGGAAGGGCGTTAGGGCCATGAGAAACACGGCTGCCGAGGACACGCCACCTCCCTGGYCACGTTCACGGAATCCAGAATCCAGCAGGGATTCCCAAGGGGCACAGGCACGGGCCAGGGAGGGGGGCTAGGAGATGATGGCCAGAGGCCAAAGCCTTGGTTAGGCAGGTGGGAGGCTTTTCCTTGATATCTGCTGTGTAGCAAGAGGTGACAAGATGCCATACATTTCAAATTCACGAAGAGAGTCAGTGTCAAATGGTCCCACCACAAAAGCYGACAGACGTAGTCATCAGCTTGATTTAGTCACTCCATGTCACCTCCACGGATCATCATATCCCCTTTCACACCATGAATATCTATGGTACTTTGTTGGCCTACGATCTTTAAAATGCAGAAATGTTAAAAAGAGGTAACAGGTAAAAGGAGGTCATTAGCGTGGGCTCTAATCCAGTCCCACTGGTGTCCTTCCAAAGGGACAGACAGGCATAAAGGGATGCGGGGGGGACAGCGCCACCTGCAGGCGGAGGAGAGAAGCTTCGGAGCTCCAGCCGGGTCCTCTCCTGGGTCCTGGACCTCTGGTCAGCAGGACGGAGAGAAAACACMATCATGCTGTTCCAGCCACCCAGGCTRKGGTCCTTCCTTACGGCAGCCACAAGACCCCCAGGAATAAAACAGCTGCAGGTCGGATGGTGACCTGCTGAAGGACACCTGCTTTCCACGCATGCAGTGCCCACGCATGCAGTGCCCACGCATGCACATACAGATGTGTTTTAGAAGTCGAGTTGTCTTTAAAAGAACAGTGAAAATGTGGGTCAATTCCAAGAAAAATATCACATAGGAGAGAAGGCAGGGGTCACTGGAAAATTCAGCAACAACTGGATTTTGGTAGACGGGGAAGGTGTGCCCAGCACACAGCACAGGACCCACGCAGTGTGCACACAGGGACCCAGGGCTTGCGGTTCGCTCACCCACTGGCCCCATTACCCACCCCACAGGCCTCGCCAGCTCCAACTGCCTCCCCAGCCTGGCCCCCTCCCCAAATGCCCCTGCTCTCCCCCAAGACTTACCCCAGGACCTTATGCCTTGATCAAGAATGTTCCTTCAGGGCTGGGTTGTGGCTCAATGGTAGAGAGCTCACCTAGCACTGGTGAGGCACTGGGTTCCATCCTCAGCACCACATAAATGTAAAATAAAGATATTGTGTCCACCTAAACCAAATAAATAAATATTTTTAAAAAAGAGAGAATGTTCCTTCAGATTTGCTGTTGAAGTCGATATTGTTTTGCCTCTGGGATTGGCTGTAACACCTTTAGGGTTTTAATCCCCTAACCACAAAGCCTGATTCCTAGTCAAAAGTCAGGAAATACCTGCTCACCCAACCCTGCCCCAGGGGCTGGACCCACAGGGAATTCAGACGGCCCTCCCTGAGGCACAGGCGTGAATCCACACAGAGGACAGGAGAAAAACTGCTGGTTGAACACCAAGACCCACTGTCCCCTCCTCTGCAGGGCGGAACAGAGCTGGACACACACAATCCAGGATGACAGCTCAGAAACCCTTCTCGCAGCCAGCTTTTCTAGTCAAGAAGACACAAGTGGAAGKGACATGTCAACTCTGGCCACCCTGGGCAAAGCCGATGACTGAGAGAGRACTTTCAGGAACACCACCAAGGAAGCAAGGGTGGAGGAGGGGACGGAAGTTCCAACAGGAAAGGTCAGAGCATCACGCAGATGTCAGCAGAGAGCCAGGGGAGGAGGCAGGCCGGGCCCCACGTCTGGGTGGTGCAGACAGATCGCRGAGAACACGGATGCTGGATCCCAACAGGCGGGGGCCGACCTGCCCTGGAAAAGGCCGGAAGGTAGAATCACATACTCTTGGAASACTGTTCTCTGAGTGATGAGGGATGGCGGTCGATGTTTTCCCATTTGCTTATTTGTGCTTTCCAAATGGGCTGGAATCAATATGCTACTTTCACCATTTCACATGTTTAAAAAATTTTAGCTTTTAGAAATTTCACATGGAGTGGTGTAGGACGAGGAGAAAGCCAAGTGAAAAGGAACTGTAAGGACTTTCACATAAACACGCAGCCGGACGGAAGCACGCATTCACACCCCTGCCCACCTGCGGCTGGGAGGCTCCAGATTAAGTCAGGTCTGGCCCAGCAACTCCRCTTCTGGTGTCAACCCAAACTAATAGAAGGCAGGGTCTTGAAAACTCTGTTGCTCATAGCAGCACTGTTCACCAGAGCCAAAAGGTGGGCCTGCCCAGCTGTCCACAGTGGGCGAGAACGGGCAGCTTGCGGCCCCTCCACATGGCAGAACATCATCCAGCATCGAAAAGGAAGGAACCTGAGGCCTGCCACCCCACCAAGACTGTGTGACCCCATGCCCCTGGAGCTCCTAGTCCTCCAGGGTCACGGGGACAAAGGTGGTGGACAGGGTGACTTGACCGATGGGTGCAGAGTTTCCAACTGGGGATGGCGGGGTCGAACAATCATGCAGATGGTGAGTTTTATGTGTCGTGCATTTTACCACCATTATATGGGGAGTCAAGGGGGTCGAAGTCAGGAGGGTGTGTGTAAGAAGTCAGCCTGGGGCCTCCCCTCCCCTGTGCTGCCTGTTCCCTGACCCCCGAGGTCACTTCTGCCCTCCTCCTGGGCACACTCGAGACCACATTCCCAGCACCTGGGGAAGACAGCGATAGAGCATCTGTGGAAGTGCCCTGCCCATCCATCAGGGGCCAGGAGGCAGCACCTGGGGCAGGTGGGCACCTCAGCTGCTGTGGCCCTGAGGATACAGCTCCAAGAGCACAGTTGGCGCTGGCCTCCAGAGCAGAAGTAGCAGTCCCTGCCAGCAGGGCAAGCTCCAGCGGCCCACGGCGGGGCCTCCGGAGCCCCACCATCCTCTCCAGTGTCCTTCCTTCCCAAGAATGCAGCTCCATCTCGCACCCTTGTCCTGGGGCTGCTGCCGGGTGCTGCAACATGGTTTCCTGAGGGGACATGGAGCAGGCTGAGCAGCCCTCGGGTGAGTGACGTGGACTGGGACCAGCTTGTGCCGAGGTGCTGTACTGTTATGGACATCACAAAGCCACCCTCAAGTTTAGTGATCCCTCTGTGGAGTCATCTTCTTCACCTCAGAACAGTCCGGTGCACGGCTATCTTTATCAGATAAGAACCGTTTTTAAAAATAATCTCAGCACCACAAGCAACATCACACCAGGAAAGTTCACAGAGCTTCCTGGATAGCAGCTGATAGCCCATCAGAATTCAGATTTGCCGGATGGCTTTAAAAATGTTCTTTTTATCAGTTTTTTTTAATTGGGATTCAAATAAAGTTTAAACATTGCATTGGGTAGGTCTGTTGATTTAAGGAAGAGAATTCTCGATTTCTATGTTAAAATAAGAAATCAAGTAAGTCACCAGTCTTAATTCTTTTTTTTTTCCACCATGCATTTGGAAGAAGAGCAAAGGCCCCCAAGGCTGTTTGGTCCTGATAAAGCTCACTTATCTCACTGTTTGAAGATTCAGAAAAACAATAAAACAACAAATTATCAAGGAG